GAAGATAACGTCGGCAATCCTGTCGTAATTACATTAATGCCGTAGCGTGGTGGTAATTGACTTCCTGAATCTGCTTCCTTGTGTGATGTAAAGAGTGATTTAGCTCAAAGCAGTTCACGAGAAATAAGAGTTGAGTGAAATTTCTTCAAGACTTTATAGGGCTATGTTATCACAGTGGAAGCCAACTTGTGTTTAGTGATTATGCTTTTTTTATTTATGTCTATATCTCTTTTAGTGTCTTATCAATCCAAAGATCGTTTGTTTTAATTAAAGGCTTTTGTTTTGGGTCTAAAAATGAAATTATATCCATTGCAATGTAATATATCTGATAAGACATGTATAAGCTAAAACCTTTGAAAAATATCCCTCTTCTACAAATGGATTAAGTCAAATAGTTTGCCTTCATAGTTTGGCAGATTTGTCGAAGCATTACGTGTTGCAAATTAGGTAGCAAAACTGTCGAGTTACCGTTAATGTGAAAAGTTTTCTCTTAAAGCTTTGGTTAGACTGAACGCATTTCCCGACTAGGATGGTATTTGCACTATTTATGACGCCTGGAAACACCCGATTACATTCAGTCTTACAAAAAGAATTAGAATTTGCTTCTATCTCTTGCAAAGAATCGGAAAGACTAATCCCTCTTGTTAATGACGCTTAGACATCATTATCGTAAAAAGAAATATATCTCTTGATAAAGCACTAATTTTCTCTGCTCCAAAGGGGAAAAAAGTAGTAAAAACCGAACAAAAGCCATCGCTGGTCAATAGTCATGGATAAAATGTGACCCTGAAAATATTATTGTCCGATGGGTGTAAATGGCGCGGGCTTCCACTACTCGATACTACCCACTCAAGGTTAAGCTAATGGCCCGTGCCGTTATTCTTTCAATAAATCATGAGTTGCTCACATGTAGGATTCCAGACTTGTAGAAGTAAATATGCCAGGAAAAAGAGGGGGATTAGACTATATGATCAGTAACGATTTGATAAAACAAAACAAAATAAAAAAAAACTAGGCTTGGTAAGTGTACAAACTTTTTTTTTTAATTCATATTGATATTCCCAAGTAACATCTCTATCAGTCCAGCCCCCTTCCCCCTCAGGAAAATATATATATAATAATGATAATAATAATATAATAATAACAATAAAATAATAAACAATAACAATAATAATAATAATAATAATAAATAATGGTAATAATAGTAATAATAATATAATAATAATAATAATAATAATAATAATAACAGTTTCGATGGAGGTACGAGAATCTACAAGATATTGACGACAGTACGGGATGAGAAATTATTCAACAGCGCTCCACCTCAATGCGCGACTTTGACGTCAAGTATTATCGGCGACGCAAAAATACTGCTTGAATGTCAGGAAGTTCAAGGTTATATTATGCGAAGATCTCTTTTTCGTTTTTCTCTTTATTTTTTCTTTTATCTCATCGTGTCTATTTTCGTGTTTGTTTCTTTGTTTCTCTCTCTCTCTCTCTCTCATTCTCATTCGTTGTTTCTCTCTCTCTCATTCTCTGCCGTTGTTCTCTCCTCTCTCTTCTCTCTCTCATTCTCTGTCTTTGTTTCTCTCTCTCTCATTCTCTGTCTTTGTTTCTCTCTCTCTCTCTCATTCTCTGTCTTTGTTTCTCTCCTCTCTCTCTCTCATTCTCTGTCTTTGTTTTTTTCTCTCTCTCTCTCTCTCTATCTATCTTTCTCTCTATCTATATATATCTAATTATCCATCCATCATATCTATCATATCCTCCTATCCATCTATCATAACTATCTTCCTATCTCTCTATCTATCATATCCATCTTCCTATCAATCTCTCTATCTATCATCTCAATCTTCCTATCTATCTATCTTCCTTATTCTCCTACCTCTCCCTTTCTCTTCCCCGAACACCTTCACCCTAATCTCTCTATCTATCATCTCTATCTTCCTTATTCTCCTGCTCTCCTACCTCTCCCTTTCTCTTCCCCGAACACCTTCACCCAAATCAATACATCAGATCAAATCTAAACATCACGCAACAAGCCTCACCTGCATATATATACGTAAATCAATGTTGCACGGTTCCTTCAGCGTTGCAGGTCAATGTCAACTCTTCCTGGTGACTCAAAATAGAAAAAAAGAGAAAAAAGTCCCACACCTTGACACCAGGCGCTTGTCCGTCGCCCTAAATAGTGTTATCGGTCGCGACTTCGATTCTCGACGAAGATGTAGCTCTGAGTCTCCAGCGACCCGTGTGAGAGGAGAGACGCGAGGACCTCGGCTCTGTCCAGGTGTTTAGGTTTGTGTCTTTTTATGTTCTGCTGTTGACTCTGCAAGTGGAAAGGAGCGGGGGGAAAAAGTGTGGGAGATTTTGCAGACTGGAAAAGGAAGAGAAAAGAGAAGCAAAGAGAGAGAGAGAAAAAAAGGAATTTTGTCCATGGGAGCAGCCGCATCGTCAACGATGTAGGGAGATATATACCTGTCTGTCGCTTACGCTGTTATAGGTAAGTGTTGTAACATTAAGGAAAGTTATTTTGATTTATGCAGGAAAGGAAATGCAGTGTTTAGAAAAAAAAAGATATAACAGTCTCACGGCTTCTGCATTCTTCTTTAATTCTACCTTTTTGTTGTTGAAATATAGAAAATTATTGCCATGTTTATAAAAGTGACCATTAACCATGTAAAGAAAACAGTAATATCAATATATATGGTAAAATTAACTAGCAGAAATAGTTAACAAGACAAAGAAGTAACCGCCTCTTTCTTTTTTACTACAGAATATTGTTCAGATTGTTCAGAATAGACTCATTCTGTTGATAAAGATTCCTCTTAGACGAAACGAAGAAAAACGACAAGCCAGTAACAATCCCAACATTTTGAAAATATGAAAATAACCGTCATACGTTTTTCTTTCTTTTTTTTCTTCTTTTTGTATGAATGAAATTCCATGATAAATATCTATCTTTTTTTCCTTCCTGGAGGTATGTGGAATAGCGTGCTGGAACTATATCTTTCTTTCTTTCTCTTCTCACTCTCTCTCTCTCTCTCTCTCTCTCTCTCTCTCTCTCTCTCTTCTCTCTCTCTCTCTCTCTCTCTCTCTCTCTCTCTTCTCTCTCTCTCTATCTCTCTCTCTTCTTTTTCTTTCTTTCTCTTTCTCTTTCTTTCTTTCTCTTTCTCTTTCTCTTTCTCTTTCTCTTCTCTTCTCTTTTCTTTCTCTTTCTCTCTCTCTCTCTCTCTCTCTCTCTCTCTCTCTCTCTCTCTCTCTTCTCTCTCTCTCTCTCTCTCTCTCTCTCTCTCTCTCTCTCTCTCTCTCTCTCTCTCTCTCTCTTCCTCCCTAAAATAGAGGCTCATGAAGTGGAATTTCCGGCGCCTGTGAAATCAGAGGTTAAAGATGGTATATAGAAAAAAGTGAATAATGAATTAATAGAAAGAATTTGAGATCACTTAGAAAAAAAAAGTGAATTATTGAATTATAGAAAACGATTTTTTATATAAACCGTGACACTTTATATCTTGTTTATTTTTATATCTTTATCTTGTGTATCTTTTTATCATTATTTTTATTATCTTTATTGTCTTTATCTTGTTATCTTATTTATTTCATTATCTTTGTTATCATATTTATTTTTATTATCTTTATTTCTTTATCTTATTTATCTTTGTTATCTTATTTATTTTATTATCTTTATTATCTTACTTATCTTTATTAGTATGTTTTACATTTATCTTGTTTATTTTTGATAGCTTATTATTATGTTTACCTTTATCTTGTTTATTCATCTTCATATTATCTATCTTTATCTTGCTTATTGTTATTATCTTACTATCCATTCCTTGTTTATCTGAAATTTTATTAATTCCTCTCCCTTTCGTATTTCTTCTTCGTTTCATTTTCTTTCGTTTTTTTCCTTATTTTCCTTTTTCGTATTTGTTTATCTTGCGTCGGCTTGTCCCCTGTTGTCGTTCTCCAAGCCGCTTGAGGTCAAGAAAATATGCCGAGGTTGAGTTGTCTTGCTTTCCCTTCTCTCCTCTGCGTTCTCCTTTCCTCCTCTTTCTTCTCTCTTCTCCCTTCTCTCTCCCTTCTTCTCTTCTTCTCTTCTCTCCCTTCTTTTCCTTCTCTCTATTCTCTTCTACTCTTCCTCTTTCCTCTCCTCTCCCTCTTTTCTCTTCTTTTCTCCTCTCCCTCTTCTCTCTTCTTTTCTCTTCTTCTCCCCTCTCTTCTATCCTCTCCTCTCTCTCTCTCTCCCCTTCTTCTCCTCTCTCTCTTCTTCTCTCCCTTCTTCCCACCTCTCCCTCTCTCTCCCCTCTCCCCTTCTTCTCTCCTCCCCTCTTCTTCTCTTCTTCTTATCCTCTCTTCCTTGACGCACTGCAGCTGTGGCTTCCTTTTTCTTACGAGAAAGAAACGGTATTGATTGACAAAGAAGAAACGATGCGCAGAAGAATGGTTATATATGCCTTTATTAATGCGAATTATGCATCTGTTTTCCATCTATTTTCTGTTTTTTATTTTTTTTTTTTTTTTTGGGGGGGGTAATGAATTAACAATTGTTCAGCAGAAGATTATAGAAGCATCTGTTGTTCTTTTATTTTATTTTATTTTTTATTAAAAAGATGATAAATCTTCGGCAAAAAATTAAAGGAACATTTGTATCTTGTTTATTTCGTATTATTTTATTAGATAAACAACAAATCAGCAGAAAATTAAATAATATCTTTATTTCTTTTATTTTTTTTATAATGATTGAACAAATATTCAGCAGAAAAATGAATAAACATCTGTATTTATTTCATTTTCTTATTTTCTTTATGAAAACTAAAAAATGATTAACGAATCTTAAGCAGAAAATTTCATAAGCATCTGGTTTCTATTTTTTTGTCATATTCTTTATATAAAAAAAATTTAGCAAAAAAAAAATAATAATGATTTTTATTTTATTTTCATATTCTTCACAAAAAAAAAAAACTTTAGCAAAAAAGATAATAATAATGATAATAAATAGCTAATTAAAAATGAAAATAGATAGATAGATAATGTAAGACAGAAAGAAAGATATACCAATTATTCATATATATTTCAAACCAAAGAAAAAAAGGGTTATCTTGAAATAGAAACGGGAGTACGCATGACCTTCCAACGGCATTTCAGGATCCATCGGCTTGCAAAAGGTCAACGCAGCTGCAACAGCAAGCCGTCGGGATCATCTGCAACAGAAGCAGGATTGCCAAAAGCCTGTGCAGAAAATTATTCCTCGGAGTGAAAGTGGCTCTCGTGTCAAGGTGCTCGCTCGTTTGCACACTTGTCGAGTACACATGGAAGTAGATATGCACATACTTTATGAACACACACACACACACACACGCACACACACACACACACACACACACACACACACACACACACACACACACACACATATATATATATATATATATATATATATATATAATATATATATTATATATGTGTGTGTGTGTGTGTGTGTGTGTGTGTACATATGTATATGTATATATATACATGCATACATACATATATAGATAGATAGATAGATAGATATAGATAGATAGATAGATAGATAGATAGATAGATAGATAGATAGATTAGATAGATAGATAGATAGATAGATAGATAGATAGATAGATAGATAGATAGATAGATAGATAGATAGATAGATAGATAGATAGATAGATAGACAGATAGGTAGATATAGATATAGATATCATCAAATAAGGTCACGAATCCAAACAACTCCCCTGACCCTTTCCTATTCCACAAAGACACGTCCCACTCCATAAAGCGGCTCGTCCTCCAAAGAAGAGGTTTTCCGAAGTCGTATCTCAGACCAGCCCCTCCTTCGCGGCCTCGGACCTCCTTGAGAATTGGTCTTAATCTCGCTACCATCTCCGGCGCGCGCGTGACTTCGTGGACTCGGTCTGCTCGACCTGTATTTTAGTATCTTCTGTTTTTTCTTTTTCTTCTTCTTTTCTTCCTGTTTTTTTTTTTCTTTCTTTTTTGGTCTTTTAATTTCTTTTTCGCCTGATTTTTTTTTCTTCGTTCTTCATTTTATTATTTTTGTTATTCTTTTTCTTTCCATCTTCTTTTCCTTCTCTTTCTTCTTCTTCTTCTTCTCCTCTTCCTCCTCCTTCTTCTTTTTTTCTTCTCCTCTTCTTCCTCCTCCTCCCCTAGCCCCCTTCCTCCTCCTAATCCTCCTCTTCTTCTTTTTCTTCTTCTTCTTCTTCTTCGATCCATCTAACAATATTACTTATTGTCAAAATGTACTTTACAGTCGGTCTACATATTCAATAATTACATCTGAAAAAGTATGAGTGAAAATTTCAAAATGTATTGCGTAATATGAAGATATTTATCCCACATGCTTATGAACTGCTTGTTTTCGTTCACTCTTGTACATTTTCTTCTTTTGTCCCTGATTTTTCTATTTTTCTTCGTTCTTCTTTTTTTTGCTCTCCTTTTTTTCATCTGCTTCGTTCGTCTTCTTCTTCTTCTCTCCTCCTTCTTCTTCTTCTTCTTCTTCTTCTCCTCTTCCTCCTCCTCCTCTCCTTCTTTCTTCTCTTCTCTTCTTCTTCTTCTTCTTCTTCTTCTTCTTCTTCTTCTTCTTCTCTTTTCTCTCCTACTCTACTCCTCCTCCTCCTCCTCCTCCTCCTCCTCCTCCTCCTCCTCCTCCTCCTCCTCCTCCTCCTCCTCCTCCCTCCACCACCACAGTAGACTCTGCATCATCCTTATCTAGGTATACACATATATCTGTTTAATTAAACAGTGATAATGGAATGCCCACTCCGACCCCAGAGGTCACTCAGGTTTGAACCAATTTCTTTTTATCTATCTACAAAGAAGAGAATCAATAAAGTCAAAATACTTTCAGAGAATGATAGGAAAAACACAAGAAAAAATCAGTATCGTAAGAGAGACAAAACATTTTTTTTCTCTCTTTTTAATAATGAGAAGAAAACAATAACATTCCTAGAAATTCATAACAATATGTCAAGTAAGACAACATTGATAGAGAGTGATGTATCCTCTCTTTCTTGAAAAAGGTTTCGTCAGAGTATTTTTTTTTAGTTTTGACAAAATAAGAATGAAATGTGTGGAAGTATTGGAACATGTGATCAAGATATTTATATTAGCTTTTCCTAATATTTAATATATATTTGGTAAATCACTTATCTATTAAACAGAACAATGAAATCAGAAATAAAAAATTACATACCATGTTCAAATGTGGATATCTGTCCCGTAGACTGTAATTTCTAGTAAATGGTATTGCAACTTATATTTTAAAAGCCTATTGTGGCTACACAAAAGATGCTTTTAAAGAAATGAAAGGATGTAGAAGTTAACATACTGGTACAATATCACAACATTTAGACAGGCATATGTAAATTCACGTGAACACCAAGATCTATGGAATGTGTGTATCATATGTATCTTTGTATGTGTGTATTTTGTGTATGTGTCAGCGTATCAAAACAAAGTCTCAATATGATA